CAAATCAAATATAAACATATAAAAAATAAATATAACGATTATCTAATCTAGCAAGGACCTATATTTCTATGTTCAAAAACATATGCGTATACACACATACACAACAAAATATTTATATTTACACGTATATACATACATATATATTTGTACACACATACCCATATATATATACATATATATATATATATATATATATATATATATATATATATATATATATATTTAATTATTTTTATAAAAAAAAATTATAACATAAGTATTTTATAAAATCACTACAAAAATAGTCATTTTGTTTCAACACAATATATCTGCTCTACTTTGTATTGAGCACTCTTTTAAGAATAGTAATTGTTGTTGTTGGAATTCATTCCCAAAATACGGGAATATATACTTTTATATATATATATATTTATATATATATACATACACATATACATAAATATCCACATACATCCATACACATCCAATCCTATATATATATACATTTACACACAAACATACATATATATATATACATATTGCATATAAACATAAATACATAAATATCTACACATCTCCATACAATTATATACACACACCCAAAACAAATAAACAATGTATCCCTCTATCAATCCGTCTAACTATAATACATACATACATACATATACACCCATATACAGATATATATATGTATGCATACATACCTAAACATACACAGACTTATAAACACATCAACATACACATCTACCTACATATACGTACATCCATATACGTTTATATATATATGATCTTTGAATAGAATGTATGCATCTTTCATATTAAATTTGCCCATTTTGTCAGGAACTCCATATTTGTTAGCAAATTTGCAGATGTCTTCATTGATAGATGATAAAGTGTCATTGTCTTTGTCTTTTTTTTTTTTATAAGAGCTGGTAATTTTGTCAGTGACGATTTTGTCATATTCAGAAGGTTTCATTTTATAGAGATTTTTAGATTTGTCGGCTTTAATCCATAATTTATTAGATTTCTTTATGTTTTCAATGTCTTTACCGATTTTAGCTTGGAAGTAGTTAGAATAATTCTTGAACTTAATCTTTTTAATTAAATCGATCAAATCGCTTTCGAACGGTAAAAGTTGAAAAAAATTGTTACACGGTGGAGTTTTGCAGGGATTTCTTATATGTTTCAGGATTTGGCTCTTATTCATTTTATAAATTATGGGAGAAAAAAATCAAATTTTCCACCTCATTCTTTTAATAAATTCATTGATTCTGTCTGTAAAAATCAGACAGATAAAAATCCTAATGAAGGGTAAGGAATGTTTTTCAAGGAATAATCCGGAGTCAATTTTTCCATCTCCATCTGAATAGGTTGGAATAAAAGCAATTTAACTGGAAGTATACCAAAGAGAGCTCAACTTATAAAGGTAAGGAGCAATATATTGATAATATTAGTGGTAAATATACACATACATATGAAATCATATATCTAAAATATATAAATATATATCGGGCATTTATTGACATTTTTTTGATGATGTCTGTAGGAACAGACGAAAGCTTGTCTCAAAAATTAAAAAACCTTATGCAACTGGAATTTATGAACAGGGATCATATCATTCATATACAGGTTCAGGGTTGATGTATCTTATTTATATTGTTTTTAATCGAGATGTATTCTCGCCATTTAAATCATTAACCTCTATATTTGTTTTTTTGTATGAATGATTCATGAATTTATAAATTATATTTATATACTTTATATTTGAATATATATATATATATATATGCATGTATATGTAGGTAGATGTGTATGTAGATGTGTTTTTATATGTGTGTGTATGTTATACCATGTATGTATACATATATATTAATATATATATATGTATTTATATATATTATGTATGTATAGTTAGACGGATTGATAGAGGGATACATTGTTTATTTGTTTAGATGGGTGTGTGTATGTAATTGTATGGAGATGTGTAGGCTTTATGTATATATGTTTGTGTGTACGTGTGTGTATGTCCTTATGTATATATGTGTTTAAATGTATATATATGCAGGAGTGGATGTGTATGGATGTATGTGTATATGTATGTATATGTGTGTATATATATGTATATGTGTATATATATATATGTATATGTATGGGTATGTGTGTACACGCCTATATGTATGTATATACGTGTAAATATAAATATGTTGTTGTGTATGTGTGTATACGTATGTGTTTTTGAACATAGAAATATAGGTCCTTGCTAGATTAGATAATCGTTATATTTTTATATGTTTATATTAGATTTGTAACCTGTAGTCGATATTACTTTTGTCAAATTTTCTTGATTACACAGCGGCCCTTTTATAAATGTCCTTCGGTTTTAGTCCCCCCATTTCATTCCCATCTCTCCCCACCCCTTTTTCTTTTCTTTTCCTCTCCCTCTCTCATCTTCTGATTTTTAAGTTTAAACCGTCTATTGTGTGTGTATGTCACCACAAAAGCTATCGTTTCCGGTATATCTTTAATGTATTAGACATCCGAGAATTTTCATATTTCTTTCACTTAAACCGTCTTTGACTCCCCTCTTTAAAACTTCTCTCTGTTAAATTTTAATCCCCCCTTCATCTTTTAGACCTTCCTGTTCTTCTCTCGTCTGTTACCCCTCTATAGCTTTCATTTAATAAAAAATTCGTCCCACAGGATTAACATACATACACATTCACTAAATCTTTTTTTTTTATTTCAAATTGTTTTTTTGTTTTCTTTTTGAATTTGTAGGTCTGATGAATTGGATCATATTTAAAATTCCAATGGAATAAATTATGACCATAGAATATTTATGTTTAAGCCTTTTTATATATATATATATATATATATATGTGTGTGTATAAGTGTGTATATATATATATTGTGCCATGTGTATGTGTATATATTTATATATATATATATATATATATATATATATATATATATATATATATATATATATATATATATATATATGCATTCTCTCTTCAATTTCTCTAATATATCAAATTAATATGTATATCTGATTTATCGGTAAGTTTACCAAAATTAATTTACGAACTTTTAATTTATATTATCTTAGCCGGGTATTTAATAAATTAATTGGTAAACAGAACTTGATCAAAGTTATTTTCATGCAAAACGCGTTTGAGTTAATTTTTGTTATAAAAATAAAATCATATATATATATATATATATATATATATATATATATATATAAAGAAATATAGTTGATTAAAATAATATTTATTTTCCTTCTAAAATTTATTTCAATATCAGAGATAGATAACAATGTGTGTAAATATAAAAGTGGCCTGACGATTTAATTTATAGCATGAAACAGACTGTCGCCTCTAAGTTGATTTCATGTTCACTTTTATATATATATATATATATATATAAAACATTGATCTCAAAACATTTGGCATTGATGTCAACAATTTGAGGCAACAGTCTGTTTCTTTGTTTTTTTAATCTGAAAATTCAAATAAATCAATATCCACTTTTATTTTACATAAACTCTATCTCTGATATTAAACAATTTAAACTATAAATATAACATAAATTTTATATATATATATATATATATATATATATATATATATATATATATATATATATAGGGTTTTCCAATAACTTGGACCGATATGAATTAAGTTTAAACGTAAGTAATATTTTTCTTTTTCTTTCAGATTTAACAACTTAAGTCTGGCAATTTCAACCACGGAAAGATTAATAATCAAACAACGTGTTAAAGTTATCAAAACCTATTAGAAAGATGGATGTTCAAACAGAAATGCATTTTTGGTCAGCATAATCGACCAAACGAGAGTGAAATTGGAAAACATTGTTCGCCAATTCAAACAAAATGGGTCGGTGGCAGATGTGAAAATACCGTTGTGTGTTCCTTTACGCTGTTCAGCTGAAAACATTGCTGCAGTGCACGAGAATGTGGACGGAAATCCAGACATCTTTATTCGTCATCACGCGCTGGAATTGAACCTCTCCACAACAACGTTACATCGAAGTTTGACAACAGATTTGTCTCTACACGTTTACAAAATTCAACTGACAGAAGAACTGAAACCTGCTGATCATTTGGAGCGCCGTACATTCATCAATTGGGTGCACCAGCAAAGACAAGCCGATGAAGATTTTTCGCAAAAATATCTTTGCATATAAATAAATCCTGGTAGGATTCCTAGTACTGTTAGGGTCAATGAACAAGTCAAATAAATCCGGTGAGATTTTTTGTATCCTTGTCTTACGCTTCTATGTATTATTCAGATAAATATATATCTTTGTGTATTAATAAATCCTGGTAGGATTCCTAGTTCCGTTAGGGTCAATGAACAAGTCAAATAAATCCGGTGAGAAGATGTATCCTTGTCTTACGCTTCTATGTACCGCTTCAGAGAGTTCCTCTTTATATCTTTGTGTATTAATAAATCCTGGTAGGATTCCTAGTTCCGTTAAAAAATGAACAAGTCAAATAAATTTTAAAAGAAGATGTATCCTTGTCTTACGTGTTCTATGTACCGCTTTAGAAAATTCCTCTTTATATCTTTGTATTTAATAAATCCTGGTAGGATTCCCAAATTCCGTTTTTATCAATGAACAAGTCAAATAAATCCGGTGAGAAGATGTATCCTTGTCTTACGCTTCTATGTACCGCTTCAGAGAGTCCCTCTTTATATCTTTGTGTTTTAATAAATCCTGGTAGAATACCTAGTTCTCTTAAAATTATCTCGCTGTATAGGTCCGATGGGAAAATTTATCCTTGACTTACTCGTCTTCTTTTTTCATGTATTCATTAAAATTGTTCTTTATCCACATGCAGGCTGATTGTTCCCAGCAACGGCTCTTTGTTGCTATATTTGGTGTTGATTTTATTGAGTAATGTCTGCCACGAAGCTCATCCAATAGCAAATACTCAAATGGCCTGTTCACCGAATCGATTTCAATTTTCTTGAACAACTGAACTTCAGAAAATAATGGCTGTCGGCACATATTACCACCATTCAGTAACCGAGCCGAAAATGTCCCTTTACCCGCAAGATAACATTTTTACTAAGGCAGCTATATAACTGGTAACAACCCCAGGGTATGAGCAATTTTAATACTTCAATATTCATAAAGTTTATTAACTTTTTCCAATATAATATTCCTCCTTGAATAATATTAAACCTGCCTTTAGACCTATCCTAAAATTACGCAAATTTTTCCTTTCACACACACACACACACACACAAACACACACACACACACACATATATATATAAAATGACAAAAGGAAAAACTGTAATCCTATATATATATATATATATATATATATATATATATATATATATATATGTATATATATATATATTAATCATTTCATTGACATTTTATTAGACATGGTGCTTTTATTTAGTTTTTTATACAATTTCTCATGCGGTCTAATATGTTTTTTCTTTTTTTCAGATGATAAATTATATAAAAAAACTTTCCGAATGTTCTTTTTATCCGAGCAGAATTCATTATACATTTAGCCATTTTCAAGGATTAAATATTTTAACTGTTAAATAAAAATAAATTTGTTGTATGTATGTTTTATAAAATGTTTTCATCTTTTTCAAAACACGATACGATATTGTGTCCATGTTTAATTATGTATATGTTGAATTTCTGTTTGTTACTGAAATTTGAATATTACCTCAACAAAAAAATATGACTCAGGTTTATGTTCAGCACAATCTTCAGGTAAAAATGAACTGTTCGTCACGATCGTTAAGATTTTCGGAAATACTAACAATTGAATGCAGTTCACCACCATTTTAAGTACCTGAATATTGTACTGAACATTTTCTCCGAGCCATATTGTAAGCGTAATAAATATATATATATATATATATATATATATATATATATATATATATATATATATATATAAAATAGGATGGAACTGGTTAGGTAAATATTCCAAAAATCCCTAAATATTTTAGTTATTATTTTTTAAAATAAATGCTCGATATAAATATATAGCAAATATAATTATTTATTTAAAAATATGATTCCAAATCGCGATTTAAATATTTCATGTTTCAAAAATAAAAAAAAACTTCAATATAATTATTTGAATTAAACTTGGTTAAAAAAAATGTTTCCATCTTCAAATGTAAATTTTTTAAATAACGTATTTTCAAAAATTTAAATTTTTATGAATTAAAATCAAAACACGTAAATTCAAATACGTTATTCCAAAAAAAAAAAATTCAAAGATGGAACAATTTTAACTTTTGATTCTAATTACAAACAAATCAAATTTTTGATGAAATTTGAGACTTTTTTAAACATATTTTTTAAATCAAAAATATATATATATATATATATATATATATATATATATATATATATATATATATATATATATATATATATATATATATATATATATATTACACCGCCCGCTATCAGAGTCCAGCGGAACGAAAGTGGTAAAATTCCGATTGACACCAATTCAGTCGGGTTTTCGATCCTAGCTAAAGGCAACCGGATGTCTAGCCACACTGAAGAGCTGTGAAACAGCGAAACAGTCTGTCTGTGGATGACTTTATATTGGCTCCTGAAAAATTAATTTCAGTTGAGCTCTCTGGGGAAGAGGTGTGGTTTGTAAACAGTGACTATTATGGCTGATATAGCGAGATTCTTCGGCAAAAAGTGAATTGAGTCACTGTCGGTCACTGTGTGTGTTTATCTAAAAATAAATACGCTAAAATTCACCTTCATCCCAGCCGTGCGCCGACGGTTTAGTGGTAGAATCTCCGATTGAGACCAATTCAGTCTGCTTTCGATCGTAGCCAGAGGCCACCGGATGTCTAGCCACACCGAAGAGCTACAAAAACAGTCTGTCTGTGGATGACTTTATATATATATATATATATATATATATATATATATATATATATATATATAATCGAAATTAACATTTCTGATTTTCAAACCCATCTTTATTTCTGTTGAAACGTCTTAATTCCTATTGTATGTAATTTATATGGTCCGTTTGAATAAAACATTGGGCCCTCTATGTGAATCAGTTTTGATATTAATCGGATTCATTTGGATTATGTAATATTCCGACGGATTATATATATCATACTTATTATAAAACCCAGGTTGTGTGTGTGTGTCTGTACGTTTATATATTGGATCGGATTTCCTACATTTTTCAACCGATTTCAACAAAACTTCACAGGACTGCATAAAGTTACCTTGCGGTGGTTCTGAAAACGCCAACAAAATTGGAAAAATACATTTGTTTTTGCACGAAATCAATTTGAAAACACGATTAAGAAGCATCGCGAGAATGAAAGGGGGACAACTCATATCGAGTTATACTTATTACAAAACCCAGGTTGTTTGTGTGTGTGTGTGTGTGTGTGTTTGTTTATATATGGGATCGGATTTCCTACATTTTTCAACCGATTTCAACAAAACTTCACTTTTTTTTTGGCAGGTAGTGATTCGTATTGTCTTGCACACTTTTTTCTTTATTTTTACATTCAGAATGCTTTAAAAATTCCATTTACAAGACAATTGTTTATAATAAAATTCTTTTCAATCGGTAGACTCATAACGATTGAAAACAATGTTTTTGTTACAGTTTGTGTTTGAACAATTCGTAAAAAAAACAAAAAACAAAAAAACAAACTAATTAAGCCATGAGTGTTCGTCAACCTTAAACAATAATCTTTGTTAATTTTATTTTTCAGTCTTTATGATGGTCGATACTTGATCTATCTCTTACTGTTACATCCCCGGGCAACGCCGGGCTCTACTGCTAGTATATATATATATATATATATATATATATATATATATATATATATATATGTATGTATGAAAAATTTCTCAGAGTTAACTTGTAAAAAAGTCAATATGTATAGAGGTAAAAGACAATAGGAAAACTGTATTATTAGCGGGCATATTTCGTTCAATGTGGACCTTTTAAGGCAAAAACGAAGAGAATTTATTAAAAACAAATTAACTATTAACAACAAAACAAAATGTCCTTAGCAACTTGAAGAATTTTCAGTTGACAATATGAATGCAATAACGTTTTCTACATTCTTCGTCGGCTAATAATTCAGTTTTCCTATTGTCTTATATCTTTACACACACACACACACACACACACACACACACACATATATATATATATATATATATATATATATATATATGATTTATCGAATATTCAAGCCGGTAGACGAAAATAAATAAATAAATTGTTTAATAACTAAATGGAGCGTCTATTCAAATATGAGTATCCATTAAAAATAACGTTTAAAGTGATAAAAACATTAGAAATATAATACATTAGAAAAATAATGTATATGACTAATACATTCGGGTCTCAGGGGAAAGCATGTCTTATATGGTATGCGTAACGCAATTCAATGGCGTCTCCTTGTCTACCGGCCTCTCAGCGCGCTTCTTGTGTATTATACCGCAAGCCACGTGAACTCAACCTTAATAAGGAAGTCAGTATCCCATCATTCTTACCATCTGAGGATTATTAGTTTACAGCACCAACATTTAAGTGTCCGCCTGAAACTTTTAGTCGTGGAAGGCTGTAACGTATGGGTATCATTTTACTTATATTTTATATTGGCTCTGTTTTGTATATTTTTGAGAGTTTACATTGAACACTGACTTTATAGCTTCACTGTTTACCTTTATCATTTACTATATACAGAGTCTGCCAAATATATTTCAACACACTTCAGGAAAGGAAAAAATTGTCTTTCGTAGTTTTATCAAATCATGATAACACTATTTACTGTAGTACGATATTTTTTCGATAGATGGCGTTACGTTGGCGGTTCCTTAGACAAGACATAAGAAATGCTTGTGCAGCAACCCCACTAGACACTTTTGCCAACGTTGCCTAAGCAGTAGTTCGCCGTAATAATAACATCTGGGAGCAAAAGGCCACCATTTTGAGATTCGATACAAGTTCTCCTTTCATGAAATGTGTATACATTTTTATGCAGACTCTCCTATATATATATATATATATATATATATATATATATATATATATATATATATATATATATAGAGAGAGAGAGAGAGAGTGTCCGCAGAAAAAATATTTAGACAGTCCAGGAAACTAACTTCTTTTACTTCTATGTACCGTGTCCCTTCAGGACGTTGGCGATCATGGCTCTCCACAATTTCCTGTCTTTTGTATCTCTTTATGAATTTTGTCTTTTTTTTATCGTCTCTCCGAAAACCTGTTCTGATGTCCATTTACAGGAATTCATTCATTCATTCTTCTTCTTCTTCTTCTTCTTCTTCTTCTTCTTCTTCTTCTTCTTCTTCTTTTTCTATGTACCGTGTCCCTTAAGAACATTGGCGACCATGGCTCTCCACAATTACCTGTATTTTGTATCTTTTTGCATATGCTCGTTAGGAGGATTATAAGTTGTTTTTCTCTCTTCCGTTTGCCTTCAATACGTTCTGTGAGTGTCAAAATTTCCATACATCCTTTCCTCATTATATTCCCTAGAAATTTGAGCTGTCCCTTTCTAGTGTTAAATATAGGTGTCTTTTTTGTTTCCATTTTCTCTCAACCTTTGTCAGGCTATGGTATTCTTAGCATCCTTCATATTTATTTGCTACCAATTTTCAAAATCCTAAACTGAAACATCCTTATAAAATTAAAACAGCCTTACATTGTTTTTTTTAAATTTTTATTCTACCAGAAACTCATCTAATTTAAGATGGATGTCCGTCATATAGTTTTATCTCTTAAATATTCGTTAGAATTACGACATTCTTTAATTATAGAGCTCGTTAAAATATCTACACAGTTCAGGAAAAGATAAACGTGTCTTTTGTAGTTTTATCAAATGACGATAACACTGTTTACTATATATAGTACGATATTTTCTCTACACATGCCATTACTCTCATGGCTGTAGCATTAACAAGGATGTTGTGTATGGCAGAAAACAGACTACATTCCCAGATCGTAGAAAATAAATTGAAAATGCAACTGCAGCAATCAGCCTGGATATTTTGGCCACCATTTTGATTGTGGCTTTACTGTAACATGATATTCCCCTGAATTAACGTCTGAAGACTCTTACCTATGTGGAACCCTAAACGATGGAGTGTATCTCAGAAGACTAACTACAATGGCATCCCTTAGACAAGGAATTGAAAAGGCATGTGCAGCAATCCAATTGGACACTTTGGTCACCATTTTGATTGTGGCTTTTCTGTAACATGATATTCCCTTGACTTAACGTCTGAAGACTCTTACCTATGTGGAACCTTAAACGATGGTGTGTATCTCAGAAGACTAACTACACTGGCATACATTAGTCAAGGAATTGAAAAGGCATGTAGAGCAATCCAATGGGACATTGTGCCCACCATTTTGATTGTGGCTTTACAGTAACATGATATTCCCCTGAATTTACGCCTGCAGACTCTTACCTATGTGGAACCCTAAACGATGGTGTGTATCTCAGAAGACTAACTACACTGGCATCCATTAGACAAGGAATTGAAAAGGCATGTGCAGAAATCCAATTGGACACTGTGCCCACCATTTTGATTGTGGCTTTTCTGTAACATGATATTCCCCTGACTTAACGTCTGGAGACTCTTACCTATGTGGAACCTTAAACGATGGTGTGTATCTCAGAAGACTAACTACACTGGCATACATTAGACAAAAAGAATTGAAAAACGATGGCATGTGCAGCAATCCAATTGGACATTGTGCCCACCCATTTTGATTGTGGCTTTTCTGTAACATGATATTCCCTGACTTAACGTCTGAAGACTCTTACCTATGTGGAACCCTAAACGATGGTGTGTATCTCAGAAGACTAACTACACTGGCATCCATTAGACAAGGAATTGAAAAGGCATGTGCAGAAATCCAATTGGACACTGTGCCCACCATTTTGATTGTGGCTTTTCTGTAACATGATATTCCCCTGACTTAACGTCTGGAGACTCTTACCTATGTGGAACCTTAAACGATGGTGTGTATCTCAGAAGACTAACTACACTGGCATACATTAGACAAAGAAATTGAAAAGGCATGTGCAGCAATCCAATTGGACATTGTGCCCACCATTTTGATTGTGGCTTTTCTGTAACATGATATTCCCCTGACTTAACGTCTGGAGACTCTTACCTATGTGGAACCCTAAACGATGGTGTGTATCTCAGAAGACTAACTACACTGGCATCCATTAGACAAGGAATTGAAAAGGTATGTGCAGCAATCCAATTGGACACTTCGGCCACCATTTTGATTGTGGCTTTACTCTAACATGATATTCCCCTGACTTAACGTCTGAAGACTCTTACCTATGTGAAACCCTAAACGATGATGTGTATCTCAGAAGACTAACTACACTGGCATCCATTAGACAAGGAATTGAAAAGGCATGTGCAGCAATCCAATTGGACACTTTGGCCACCATTTTGATTGTGGCTTTTCTGTAACATGATATTCCCTTGACTTAACGTCTGAAGACTCTTACCTATGTGGAACCCTAAACGATGGTGTGTATCTCAGAAGACTAACTACACTGGCATCCATTAGACAAGGAATTGAAAAGGCATGTGCAGCAATCCAATTTGACACTTTGACCACCATTTTGATTGTGGCTTTATCTTAGTAACAAAAGGTGATATTCCCTGAATTAACGTCTGAAGACTTAACGTCTACCCTATGTGGAACCCTAAACGATGATGTGTATCTCAGAAGACTAACTACACTGGCATCCATTAGACAAGGAATTGAAAAGGCATGTGCAGCAATCCAATTTGACACTTTGACCACCATTTTGATTGTGGCTTTACTGTAACATGATATTCCCCTGAATTAACGTCTGAAGACTCTTACCTATGTGGAACCCTAAATGATGGTGTGTATCTCAGAAGACTAACTACACTGGCATCCATTAGACAAGGAATTGAAAAGGCATGTGCAGCAATCCAATTTGACACTTTGACCACCATTTTGATTGTGGCTTTACTGTAACATGATATTCCCCTGAATTAACGTCTGAAGACTCTTACCTATGTGGAACCCTAAACGATGATGTGTATCTCAGAAGACTAACTACAATGGCATCCATTAGACAAGGAATTGAAAAGGCATGTGCAGCAATCCAATTGGACACTTTGGCCACCATTTTGATTGTGGCTTTACTGTAACATGATATTCCCCTGACTTAACGTCTGAAGACTCTTACCTATGTGGAACCCTAAACGATGGTGTGTATCTCAGAAGACTAACTACACTGGCATCCATTAGACAAGGAATTGAAAAGGCATGTGCAGCAATCCAATTTGACACTTTGACCACCATTTTGATTGTGGCTTTTCTGTAACATGATATTCCCCTGACTTAACGTCTGAAGACTCTTACCTATGTGGAACCCTAAACGATGGTGTGTATCTCAGAAGACTAACTACACTGGCATCCATTAGACAAGGAATTGAAAAGGCATGTGCAGCAATCCAATTTGACACTTTGACCACCATTTTGATTGTGTCTAACCTGTAGCATGACATTCCCCTGAATTTACGCCTGCAGACTCTTACCTATGTGGAACCTTAAACGATGGTGTGTATCACAGAAAACTAACTACACTGGCATCCATTAGACAAGGAATTGAAAAGGCATGTGCAGCAATCCAATTGGACACTGTGCCCACCATTTTGATTGTGTCTATCCTGTAGCGTGACATTCCCCTGAATTTACGCCTGCAGACTCTTACCTATGTGGAACCCTAAACGATGGTCTGTATCACAGAAAACTAACTGCACTGGCATCCCTTAGACAAGGAATTGAAAAGGCATGTGAAGCAATCCAATTGGACACTTTGGCCACCATTTTGATTGTGGCTTTACTGTAACATGATATTCCCCTGACTTAACGCCTGCAGACTCTTACCTATGTGGAACCCTAAACGATGGTGTGTATCTCAGAAGACTAACTACACTGGCATCCATTAGACAACGAATTGAAAATGCATCTGCAGCAATCCAATTGGACACTTTGCCCACCATTTTGATTGTGTCTAACCTGTAGCATGACATTCCCCTGAATTTACGCCTGCAGACTTTTACCTATGTGGAACCCTAAACGATGTTGTGTATCATAGAAAACTAACTATACTGGCATACATTAGACAATGAATTGAAAACCTATGTTCAGCAATCTCTTTGGACAATTTTGAAACAGTTGTTTTTCATTGTAGTGTCCAAAGTTAAATTGCATTTATCTTGTGATGTCTGTATAAATTAAGTAGTACAATATCTATACATGTTTTTTCCTTTCTTGAAGTTTGTATACATTTTTTCTGTCGGACTCTGCATATAAACTTTGTTCGAAAAATCACCTTGCTATTCAAGGACGTCATAACATGTCAGATTCTTCATACTTTTTCTTTCTTTTTTCCCCCGAACTTATATTAACACATAGAATTTACACCTTGACAAACTGACGAGAATAAATTATCGAAATCATGATTTTTTTAAATTTATTTACTTATCCTCCTAATCTCGTAAAATCCGAAGTTTTATGGTCCCCACATTTTCCTGAATACACCTAGTTATGAGTTTTGTGGATAACTTAGGGAGTATCTATATATCTATAGACCTTTTGTCAGCTCAATGATATCATGTGTTTAGAAATTCGGAGTCTGTAGCCAGTGTTATTAACCACGGTTCCGGAGAATGTTATCCAAACCGCGTCTGTGCGAAGTGAAAAATGGAGGACATTTACATTGCATACCTTTTCGTAAATGGAAATATATTTAGTGATTAGCTATTTCAATAATTAATCGAGTAATGTTTCTTACGGGAACATTTTATAATACATGAAACTAATGGTGGTGGAAAAGTGTACATGCAAAAAAACAACAGACCAAGAAAACATTTATTAGATTAACAAAAGGAAAGTTTAAACAAAAACTTTCTTTTGTTAGGCATAAATTGTATATACAAGAAATATTGATGAATATGTTATAGTAGGACTTACTTCGTTGGTGTGTTTTATGAGTGTAGCGTTCACAGCCCTTTTAGCTTCAGCGAGGAAAGTTCATGACACCAGTTCGAAAGTGGAAAAATCCGGAAGAAGAGAGTTACTTAAGTGTTCATGTGTTTATATATTCGAGCACTGCTACTGCTGCTGATATAAAGTTTATTTAGAGCTGGGACTGCTACTATCTTGAATCTCACTACATATATTTCGAATGTTTGAATTTCCATTCTGAATGAAATTGTTTTTGATTAAAAAAGTATTAAAATCACTAGATTTTTAAATCTCTAGATAACTTTTGGGACACCACAAACACACACACACATATATATATATGTATGTATATATATAGATATATATAAATTTAAATGATTAGAGTAAAACTGGAATATATATATATATATATATATATATATATATATATATATATATTTTATATACATTTAAATGATAAAGAGAAAACTGTAAAACTATATATATATATATATATATATATATATATATATATATATATATATATATATGCATAATCCGTAATTGGTAATCCGTATGGATTATCCCAAGGAGGATGAAATCCAGAGAGATCAATGTTAAATCAAAGCGAATAATTTAATTTATTTATCCCCCTCTCTTTTCTTCAAAACCCTAAGTCCATCTGTTACTTCTTGCATCTTTACTTCTCCCTTCCTTTTTTTCTCTTTTTATATCGTTTCCGGTGCGTTGACCCATTAAATAGGTCAACGTCTGATCCTTACCCCCTTCCTCACTATTAAGTATTGTAATAAAAATAAATTTAAACGACTTACTATCTCTCCCTTCCCTCTCTAATTTCGACCATATCTGCACCACAATCTCTCAACCCTCTTACATCGGCTGAATACTACCCTCCAAAAGTGTTAGTTTAAATTCAATTTTTTCATCCTTGGAAGTAAGGTCTGATGATCCAGGGAACAAGAAAATCCCCGGGGAAATAAATTATAACCTTATGGAACCTTAAATTGTCTGGTTTACTTTAAGTTATATATATATATATATATATATATATATATATATATTAAGGTGTGCTATTTTTATGGGATAAAATGTTCAATACCAGATAGAGCGTATGTAAATATAAATATAAAAGTGAACATTGAAGTCAACACTTATGTTAACACCCGTTGACTGTCTCACCTGTAGAACTCCCTCCCCCTTTCCTGTTTCCCCTGATAGCTATAATCTCCAACTATTCAAGTGTAATGTCAATCGACGTCTCCAGATGCCATGATTTATCCCCTAGCCTTCTCATTCTTTCCTCTATCACTCCTCTTTGCTCTCGCTCCAACTCTCTGTAACCCCTTACGTGCTAGTGGATCCCCGCCTTGCTTGGGGGGAAACACTCAGAGTTCGCCTGACGATTGCGCTTAGCATGAAACTGAATCCTGTCGCATCTGAGTTGACTTTAATGTTCAATTTATATATATATATATATATATATATATATATATATATATATATATATATATATATATATATATATATATATATATATATCTTCCATCTATATATATATATATCTATATATATATATATATATATATATATATTAAATCATTAACCTCTATATTTGTTTTTTGTATGAATGATTCATGAATTTATAAGTTATAATTTGCACCTTTAATTGAAATTAAAATAACTGATCCAACGTGAAACTTTCGGATAATAAGTGTGACATTTCTGTAATTATTGAACAATATAGTTCATGCCACATTCACGGGAAAATCTACCAGTAAAAAAGAATTCTTATTGCTTTTTGTACAAAAACGCACAACCTTAAAATTTAAAATTCAAACTCAGCGTTGCGACCGCACGTTCCAAAACAATAACACATTTCTCATAGCATTTTTTCGGATTACATCTCTATTTTCGTTGTCCTCTTATTACCGAGAAGTAAAAACAAGAACAAAATCTACTTCCATACCTGATGATGTCTGTAGGAACAGACGAAAGCTTGTAAAAATTAAAAGACCTTATGCAACTGGAATTTATGAACAGGGATCATATCATTCATATACAGGTTCGGGGTTGATGTATCTTATTTATATTGTTTGCGATGATGTATTCTCGCCATTTAAATTATTAACCTCTATATTTGTTTTTTGTATGAATGATTCATGAATTTATATATATATATATATATATATATATATATATATATATATATATATATATATTTGCCCGGTGATTTATTTCGGTTTATTAAGAACAATTAAACGAAAATATATATTTTTTACTTTCAAATTTTTTAAATAACAGATTTAGCATCGTCTAAGACTATCTTCGACTATCTTTCAAGCAGCTTTACAGCCGCATTCTTCCAGAACTTATCTTTCTCAACAAAGGACTGCTCAAGAAACCTTTTGTAATCTTTCCAGTGAATTTGATTTTTTTTTTAGTCAGTGAATTCTTCCGCACTTTGAAGTCTCGTGGATTAAAATTCATCTCCACGTTTGAAGTGTTGGCGTCTGCCATGATGGGTCATATACCACCATTTTTTCCTTTTTTTTAAAAAGTCTTTGTAGCATCGAGATTAATATTTAATGCTACCATTTTGTTTTGGTTCGAGGCTGATTAATAGATGGCGCTGCTGTTCAAAATAAAAAAAAAAAAAAAGGAAACGTCGTTGAAAGAGATAAAGATAGTAATATATAATAATCCGGACATAGTGCTGAACATAGATGCTGCTTCAAAAACAACCATTTTGTTACATTTTACGTAAACAGAGAATTCAAATACAGCCATTCCTCACATAACGACATACCTGTTTAACGACCACTAAACAAATGATATTATCTAGCCGAGTTCGAATTCCATTCTAGTTCGTTGCATTATGTTATGCGTTAATAACTTTGAGAAAGGTATGAATTCATCTCTTTTCCTTCAGTCATGGGTAAAATAGGATAGACTGGGCCCTATAGCCTTAGCTGGCAACCAGTGTATGAGAAGGAAAACTCTGAATTCAAACCATCTGATGCATGGAATGTGTGCCTCTCTAATTCTATTATAGCTATTGGTAGTCTATTGTTATTAGAGCTCATTTTTCTTGTTGACAAATGTTACAGATATTACGATGATTGTTGTAAGGTTTTGCACATTTTTAAAAAGCAAAAAAAAAAAAAAAAAAAAGAAAAGATAAATTATTTACTAAACGTTGCAGATTTTAAAACAATTACATAACTATGGGGAATCCAGTGAGAATCGAACTAACCTTACTGATCATTACATCAGAATGAAGCGCCAAAATGAATTTAAAAAATCGTTGATTAAAACCTTTTTGTTGCTGAACTTACGGTGAAAGATCTCTGATGATGAATAGCACAAATATGTACATGACCCTGGGGGCAGGCCATAGAATAGTGCGGATTCAGAGGAATAAGTCCTATTAAAAGACTTCATTATCTATATATTTCTCAGGACCTTTCATTTTCTTTCTTTCTTTCTTTCTTTCTTTTTTTTTCGTCGTTTTGTTTGTTTATTTGTTTATTTCTCAGGTTCTTTCTTTTTCTTTCTTTCTTCCTTTCTATCTATCTATCTATCTATCTATCTATCTATCTATCTATCTAAGACTCGTTTTTCTTTCTTTCTTTCTTTCTTTCTTTCTCGGGCTCATTGTTTTTTCTATCTATCTATCTATCTATCTATCTATCTATCTATCTATCTATCTAAGTCTGGTTCTTTCTTTCTTTCTTTCTTTCTCAAGCTCTTTGTTTTTTCTATCTATCTATCTATCTATCTATCTAAGTCTGGTTCTCTCTTTCTTTCTCTCTTTTTTCTTTCTTTCTTTTAAAAACCCTTCCTTCCTTTCTTTCTTTTTCTTTCTTTTTTCTTTCTTTTCTTTCTTAGGCTCTTTTGTTTTTTTATCTATCTATCTATCTATCTATCTATCTATCTATCTATCTATCTATCTATCTAAGTCTGATTTTTCTTTTCTTTCTTTCTTTTCTTTTTTCTTTCTTTTCTTTCTTTCTTTTTTCTTTCTCAAGCTCTTTTGTTTTTTATCTATCTATCTATCTATCTATCTATCTATCTATCTATCTATCTATCTATCTATCTAAGTCTCTTTCTTTCTTTCTTTCTTTCTTTCTTTCTTTCTCAGGCTCTTTGTTTTTTCTATCTATCTATCTATCTATCTATCTATCTATCTATCTATCTATCTATCTAAGACACGTTCTTACTTTTTTTCTATCTATCTATCTATCTATCTATCTATCTATCTATCTATCTATCTATCTAAGTCTGGTTCTTTCTTTCTTTCTTTCTTTCTCGGGCTCTTTGTTTCTATCTATCTATCTATCTATCTAAGTCTGGTTCTTTCTTTCTTTCTTTCTTTCTTTCTTTCTTTCTTTCTCGGGCTCTTTGTTTCTATCTATCTATCTATCTATCTATCTATCTATCTATCTATCTAACTATCTAATCTATCTATTTAGTTCCTCTCGTCCACTATGAAACATTCAGCTCCTTTTAACGCCGCATTCGAGGCCGTACCAATAATAGGGGGTTCAGTGGGAATCTGGATTCACAAGCGGTCACCCAGCCGCATGTAGACAAAGTTTTAGGATTAGTCCGATTCAGTTTGAATTTAGTCTTTTTCCTTCTCCTATCTATATAATAAATGCGAATGTCAGTGTGTCTCACTTTTTTAACTTCACCCGTAAAGGCAGTAGCCCAACATATCACACCATTTTGGAATCAAACCAGTTCCGTAAGCAAATTAAAAAAAACTTCCAGCTCGAATCCTGACCCACTATCCTGAAATTTGGGATTTCCAATTTTTCATTGCTGCGTTTGTTTTCGGCAATTTTTTACGTGACATTTTGTGACGAATTCTTTTGCACGATAACAATCTTTATAACTTGGAAATGAAGTCGGGAGTCATCGAAATTAATTGCGAAATTCATCGAAAGCCACCTATGAAATAAAAAGTAATTGTTACGTACATCAAAATGTCTTTAAATTAAGTGGCTGTGGAACAATTATCTTTGAACTTTAATTTCCTACATTATTAGCACGTAAGTGAATCTAATCAACTCGATTGGACTGGAATTCGAACTCGGCTCTCCGATTCATCAATCCGAACCCCTAACCATGACTCCACGGTTTTTCAACAACCGCGATTCATTGAAACTTTAATTTATTTTTATGTCAAGCATGATTTTGTTATTAGATTAGGAGTTGTCGTTTGAAGTTGAGAAGGTGGCGTGTATTCACGAACATAAACTCAACGTTAAAATGGTCGAGAAAATAGACAAACGAGATATTGCATAAAATGCGAGATCGACATTTGTATTCTATCGGGAATTTTTTGTGCCGACAAAAAGTTTCACGATGAAGGCCAACCTTATTATCACTATATGACGTCTCGGCTTCAGTCACTTTTCAACCAGCGTACCTTTTCTATAAATATTAGGTTGGTGCAAAAATAATGACGTAATAATGTCGTTTTTTGACGTTTAAAAATACGTCAAAAAACGACATTATTTCGTCATTATTTTTGCACCAACCTAATACATTCATAATTTTGAATGAGCTCTTCGACATGGTACCTAGACTTTATGAATTTAAATTTGCAGTACTACACTGGCGTCGAGATCTCATCAATTTACAGCTGAGCTGGCAGGATGTAACCTTAATTTCTGTGCTAACAGTTTATTTTCTCGCACATCTCGATTGTGGAACGCCCTTCCGCCTCCTTTAATCTGCAAAAAAAAAAAAATAAAATTAAATGCAATGTCAATCGCTGTCTACTGTCCTGATTATTCTTTTTTTGTCCTCGCAATGTTCCTGTTTCTAATTCTTCTACACCCAATAACCCCATGTGTCTCAGTGGCTTTCATTCCTTACTTGGGGGGGGGGGTGGACTTCATTAAAAAAAAAATTCCCGAAAGAAAGTGCGAACTCAAAGAATGTACCTAAGAGTCTCTGTAAAGAACGAAGGAAAACCAGAACTTTGTTGGTGAGTTAAAGACTGAATGAGGTGTACTGTCTACGCCACGTGAGTCTATTATACGGAGCGATAATTTTAGCATCCTGTCCCGATTTCGTTAAGAAGTGAAAGAGATAGCCTCTTGGAATTAACAGCACGCATGCTTCAAATTATTATTTTTATTTTTAAGTAGGACCAAGAACTGAAAAGAGGTTCGTATTACTGATAAAGTTATCTACTTGTCGAGTGAAAATGTTTTACGTCTGCTACAGGGACGTCCAATCTTTTCAGAAATATCCAAACATTCAAATATCTACCAATAGATCAATGCTTAAAAATAGTCTAGATCGAATGAAAGTTGTGGATTTTAGCGAGGACAGTCCATCTTCGAACCTCTTGGAGTGGCTACAGAATTATAAGCACAGAACTGTATCTAATAACAGAAACCATATCACTTGAGGATTTTCAATAAGAGCAACAACTAAAATGGATCTCGCATGTAACTCTTAGAGAAAATAATGGCGTAACATGTCTCCATTCCACATAACTCCAAAATTAAGGTTAGAAAGGAAACACCCATCAATACAGAAAAGATTGACTACTGTTACTGAATCTGAGAAAATTATTTTCCTGAAAAATTGTCTTAATAGAAAGATTTTAATAAATTTCAATCGACACTGGCTGCTCGGCCAGTGAACACAATACATTGATAGGAGAGCGAGACTGATCGTTACGATGATCGAAAAAATATTTATTAAGCGTTAAAGATCTTATGACATAATTATGGCGAATCCCTTGAGGATCGAACTCACTTCTAATCGAATTCAAGCTCAACTTACTGACTATTACATCAGAATGAAGCGCCAAAATGAATTTAAAAAATTATTGATTAAAACCTTTTTCTTGTTGAAGCTATAGTGAAAGGTCTCTGTTGATGAATAGAACAAATATGTACATAACCCTGGGGGGCAGGGCATAGAATATTGCGCATTCAGAGAAATAAGTCCTGTTAAAAGACTTCATTATCTATCTATCTATCTATCTATCTATCTATCTATCAACTCCTTATATGTATCTCTCCCTCTCTCCTCTCTCTCTCTCTCCCTATCTCTCTATATATGTATGAGTCTAAGACTCTTTCTTTCTTTCTTTCTTTCTTTCTTTCTTTCTTTCTCAGGTCCTTTCTTTTTACTATCTATCTATCTATCTATCTATGAATTCTTTCTTTTTTTATCTCTCTCTCTCTCTCTCTCTCTATCTAAGACACGTTCTTTCTTTCTTTATTTCTTTCTTTCTTTCTTTCTTTTTCAAGTCCTTTATCTATCTATCTATCTATCTATCTATCTATCTACCTATCTATCTATCTATCTATCTCAGACACGTTCTTTCTTTCTTTTTCAAGTCTTTTCTTTTTCTATCTATCTATCTATCTATCTATCTATCTATCTATCTATCTATCTATCCCTGCCCTTTTTTCGAATCTATCTATCTATCTATCTATCTATCTATCTACTCCTTATATGTATCTCTCTCTCTCTCTTCTCTCTCTCTCTCTCTCTCTCTCTATCTATCTATCTATCTATCTATCTATCTATCTATCTATGTGTCTAAGACTCTTTCTTTCTTTCTTTTCTTTTCTTTCTCAGGTTTTTTTTTTTACTATCTATCTATCTATCTATCTATCTAAGACACGTTCTTTCTTTTTTTCTTACTTTCTTTCTGTATTTCTTTTTCTATCTATCTATCTATTGATCATTTTCTCTCCTCTCTTTACTTATTTTTTTTATTGTTACACAATTCAATATATATATATATATATATATATATATATATATATATATATATATATATATATTCTTTTTGTGTATTTTTGTACCTGTATAAGTGCTAAAAATCAAACAGTTTCCTTTTGCATATCGCATTTGTACGTGCCGATCTGGTCATCAATTTACGTTCTTTTTAGCCAAAATTGAAATGTTCCGCCGGCATTGCTCGAGGGTTGATTAAAATGTGGGATTCTCATCCGAAAAGGAAGGGCGTTAAAAAAATAAATTAAACAAAGAAATCCGAAAAAAAAAAAAACTCATTGAAAATTAATTTTAAAGTAAAGAAAAATTTAATAAATTATCTAAAAAGTTAAATTTATAGTTTAAATAAGTTGAAAGAAAAAAATGTAATTTTGAAATAAGGAAAGACGAGAAAGGAAGAATGGGCGAAATAAGGAAAGAAAATGGTCGTTTCATTCGGGCTATTGTCTTCATCTTTATTGTTGCTATTACAACAATTGGGCCGTTTTGGTCTCCGGCCTTCATCAGGTGTATATCGATAAGAGTAACCTGCAGGGAATTTCGAACAGAGCCCTTTATTAAATCTACGGGTGTAGACTGTTCTTTTTCCACTGCCCATGTCTAGGAATATTTCGTCTATTCCTTATTTTTAGTACTTCACAGTTATTGCTCGTCCTATTTTCACTGAATCCAAGTACACAATACCCAGGCCAGGGATTGAACTGAACCCTTTATTTAATCTATGGGAGTAGTCTGTTCTCATTCCACTGCCCATGTTTAAGGATATCTCGTCTAGTTCGTATTTTTAGTACTGCTCAGGTATTGCTCGCCCTGCTTCCATTGAGTCCAAGTACACAATACCCAGGCCAGTGATTGAACTGAACCCTTTATTTAATCTACAGACATAGACTGTTCTCATTCCACTGCACATGTCTAGGGATATGTCGTCTAGTTCTTATTTTTAGTACTGCTCAGGTATTGCTCGCCCTGTTTCCACTGAATCCAAGTACACAATGCCCATAACAGGGATTGGACTGAACCCTTTATTTAATCTACAGAGATAGACTGTTCTCGTCCCACTGCCCATGTCTAGGGGCATCTCGTCTAGTTCTTATTTTTAGTACTGCTCAGATACAGCCTGCCTGGCCCACGGCTCCACGGAACAATAGCCTAGTGGATGAAAGTGTTGGTTCGTGAATTTGATAACATAGGAATTGTGAGTTCAATCCCTTTGCCGGGCAATGTGTACTTGGGTTCAGTGGAAACAGAGCGAGCAATACCTGAGCAGTACTAAAAATAAGAACTAGACGTGATATCCCTAGACGTGGGCAGTGGAACAGTTCTTCTCCCGTCGAAAACAAAAGATGGTCCCAGTCTTTTTAAAAAAAAGCATTTATATATATATATATATATATATATATATATATATATATATATATATATATATATATATATATGTGTGTGTGTATGTGTGTGTGTGTGTGTGTATATATATATATATACCCAAGTATAGGATTGGTGTATACGGAATAAATTCCAATAACCAAAAAATACTATTCTTAAAAGAGTGCTCAATACAGAGTAGAGCAAATATAATTTATTCGAAAATTATAACAGAAATATGTTATAAAATCACTACAAAAATAGCCATTTTATTTCAAAACTTACACCACCACTTATCACCAGAAGTGTTGAAACAAAATGGCTATTTTTAGTGATTTTATTCAACATTTATTGATATAATCTTCGAATAAATATTATATATATATATATATATATATATATATATATATATATATATATATATATATATATATATATAAATATAGTTTTAAGGTGTATATATTTATGGGATAGCATGCTCAATATCAGAGATAGAGCGTGTAAATATAAAAGTGAACATAGAAGGAAAACACAGAGGCGACAGACTGTTTCATAGACGTTAGATATAATATTATATATATATATATATATATATATATATATATATATATATATATATATGTGTGTGTGTGTGTGTACTGAGTTTTAGGTTAGTAGGATATAAATTCCGAATGGAAGTTTTGATAAGAGTGTCTGCTCTCCCTGGCTTCCTTAGAACTGTATGTGAAAAATCGCATCTTTTGTTTTGCATAATATTATACATCCCCACAACATATATCTTCTACACATGTGTACCTAAATATACACGTGCATACGCTCACATAAATTCACACACATACACACAAAGAAGAAAAAAACAACCTAACACAAAAAAAAAAAAAATGCTTGCATTGTTTTTTTAAGTTAATATAAAAACAACGAAGATGAGAAAATCAGCAGAAAATTGCTGATAGCTCCTGACGAGTGGTGCGAACGATTACTCAAAGGACAGTCTACGAAACTCTGGAGTCGGGCTGATGAATATAACACTAATGAGCTAAGTGACAAGATTTATGTTTGTATTAATTCAACTTCCTTTTTTTTTTAGAAATTCATTTTCTATACACTGCCGTTCAAAGTTTGAGAACATTCCTCGTATTTTTTTAATAATTGGTTCAAAAGATATTTGATTTGTATTTTAAATAAAAGAAAATTATTACACATGGTTAAAAAAATGAACCATGATTTTTTATTAGAAATTTTATTATGACAGAAAGAAAAATAAGCATTTTATGATTAAATGTTGCTCACTCAAAATATCCTCCTTTAGTCTTGATTACTGCAGCACAAGGTTTTGTCATTCGTTGCAAACGTTTCTCATATTATAAATTTGATAATTGATTCCATTCTCTTTTCCATGACTCTAAGAGATCTGTTTCATATTTTTATTCGCTCTCCTGTCAAGTTTATCCCATTCTGGGGGCTGCTTCAGACTTTTGAACTGTACTGTATGTCAGGTTACTTTCATTCATTCATTGTCTTCCATCTTTCTTTTTCGTCTTCCATCTTTTTTTTTAGACTAATCATTCTTCACTTTTTAAATGTTACCTCACTTCCTGTTTTGCTAATTTTCTTGCAATTATTTTCTTTTTTTTTACTTTCAAATGTTACCTCGCTTTTTTTTATTTCTGCTTTTTTAAAAAAAATTAATTTCTTATTTGTCAGATTATTTTCATTCCTTCCTTCCTTATGCCAATCTTTATGTCTTTCATTCATTCTTTCTTACTTTCTTTTTTCTTTCTTCTTTTTAGTATTTTTTCTTCTTTTTATCGTTTTCTTCTTAAATTTTGTCCGTTCCTATTCTCTCTTTCATTTTCAGCATCTTCCTTTCTTTTTGTTTTTCTTTTTGTCTTTCATTTTCTATCTATCTATCTATCTATCTATCTATCTATCTATCTATCTATCTATCTATCTATCTTTTTATTATTATCCATAATCTTTCTTTCTTCTTAAATTTTGTCCTTTCCTATTCTCTCTTTCATTTTCAGCATCTTCCTTTCTTTTGGCTTTTTTCTTTTTGTCTTTCATTTTCTTTCTTTCTGTCTTTTATTCTATCTATCTATCTATCTATCTATCTATCTATCTATCTTATATTTTATTCATTCTTCCTTTCTTTTTTCTTTTTTCTTTCTTTTTCTTTTTCTTTTTTTCATAATCTTTCTTTCTTGTCTCCCATTTTCAGAATCTTTATTTCTTTGTCTTCTTTCTTTCTTTCTTTCTTTCTTTCTTTCTTTCTTTTATTTTCCACATTCATTCTTTCTTATTAAATTTTGCCGTTTTTAATTCTGTCTCTCATTTTCAATATTTTTCTTTCTTTTTTTCTTTCTTTCTTTCATTCTTTCCTTCTTTCTTTCTTTCTTTCTTTCTTTCTTTCTTTCTATTATTTTCCACATTCATTCTTTCGTATTAAATTTTGCCGTTTTTAATTCTATCTCTCATTTTCAGTATTTTTCTTTCTTTCTTTCTTTCTTTCTTTCTTTCTTTCTTTCTTTCTTTCTTTCTTTCTTTCTTTCTTTGAACCTGAATACCCGTCGCCGTACCTCTATCCCTTCCTTCATACTGTTGCATTCTTCCCATCAACAATAAATGCCCTGCCTTCACCTGACTCTTCTTCTTTCGCGCTCCTTTTTTTTTTTGGCACGTGACAATAACAGCAATTGCAGAAGGTAAGAAGAACATTCAATGAATCGTAGAGCGTTCTTGCACCAAGACGCCGCCGCCGCCGCAGCAGCAGCAGCAACCTTAGCAAATCCAAACAATGGCAAAATATCGTCAGCCAATACAAACAATCAAATAAATAGCGAACGAGTAAATAATAACCTTAAGGAAAATGGAAAAGTCCCAATAAACAAAAATGTCGAAGCAGAAAGTATTTCAATCATCAAGTGTCAGTCATATTTTACTCGTATTGTTCTTTCGCCATTCGCAATTCTGTCAACGCTATCTCCTTCGTATTCGGACCACAAAATCCAGTTGAGATAATCAATACTTGGCTCAAATGATTTACAGTCTTTTTTTTTTTTTAATGATTTCCTTTTCACATTCATCTGTTTATTTATCTGACGTTATTTCTGATGCCAACACCTTAGATTGACAAGGTGGGTCGAAGAAATGTTGAGCATAAAGGCGTGAAGTCTTTTAAATTCTATTGTTTCTCTCCAATAAAATTTGCTTTGTTTTCTTTTCTGCTTTCTTCCTGTTGCATTTAGATTCTTACGATCTAATTGCAACTTTTTCCTTCCTTCCTTCCTTCCTTCCTGCCTTCCTTCCTTCCTTACTTTCTTCTTTCCAATTTACTTCATTCCTTCATTCGCCTTTCCTTCTTTCCTTCGCTTTTCCTTCTTTCCTTCCTTCATTCCGTCTTTTTTTACTTCCTTCCTTCCTTCCTCTCTACTTCATTCTTTTTTCCTTCCTCTCTTCCTTCCTCTGTACTTCATTCCTTCCTTTGCTTTTCCTCCGTTCCTTCCTTCCTTCCTTCGTTCCTTCCTTCCTTCCTTCGTTCCTTCCTTTCTTCGTTCGTTCGTTCCTTTCTTCCGCCTTTCCTCTCTACTTCATTCCTTTCTTCCTTTCTCTTTTCCTTCCTCTTTACTTCATTCCATCTTTCGCCTTTCCTTCTTTCCTTCCTTCCTTCCTTCTTTCTTTCTTTCTTTCTTTCTTTCTTTCTTTCTTTCTTTCTTTCTTTCTTTCTTCCTTCCTTCTCTACTTCATTCCATCCTTCGCCCTTCCTTCCTTCCTTCCTTCCTTCCTTCCTTCCTTCCTTCCTTCCTTTTTTCCTTCCTTCCTTCCTTCCTTCCTTCCTTCCTTCCTTCCTTCCTTCCTTCCTTCCTTCCTTCCTCTCTACTTCCTTTTCTTTCTTCCTTCCTTCCCTTCCTTCCTCTTCCTTCCTTCCTTCCTTCCTTCCTTCATTTCTTTCTTTCTTTCTTTCTTTCTTTCTTTCTTTCTTTCTTTCTTTCTTTCTTTCTTTCTCTCTACTTCATTCCATCCTTCGCCTTCCCTCCGTTCGTTCGTTCGTTCGTTCGTTCGTTCCTTCCTTCCTTCCTTCCTTCCTTCCTTCCTCTCTACTTCATTCCTTTCTTCCTTCCTCTCTTCCTTCCTCTGTACTTCATTTGCTTTTTCTCCGCTGGTTCGTTCCTTCGTTCCTTCCTTCCTTTCCTCTGTACTTCCTTTCTTCCTTCCTTCCTTTTCAGCCACACGTCTTCATTTCTTTGAGTTTGCATCATTTTTTTTACCATTCCCCCACATTGTAAGCAAAATTCTCTAAGTATTTCCCCCCCAAATAATTTTTTTCTCATCTATCTCTCACATCATCTAAATGTCTAAATCCCCTGACAATCGATAGAATAGGATTACCATTTCCTATAATTCATGAAGAGATTAACAATGTCTTCAATTGCCATCCCTTGCCGACTATGACAGATAAGTTTTTATTTTGTTCTGTGATATATAAGTTTGCTTTCCTTCAAAATTTATATATGACGAATTAACTTTTAGAAGAACCCAGGAAAAACTGTATGAATGAAAAAATGGCCATAATGTAATATTTTTTCTATCCTTCAAAGATTTTATGACGTTTTGCATCAGATTAAAAGCCGGTATTTCATTCATTTATTCATTCATTCGTTCATTCTTTCATTCCTTTCTATAGAAAACTACTTCCCTCAGATATCTTTCACCACATGAAGTACAAGCGTAGATCAATAAGTCCGTATTTCAGCGTTTCTCCACCGATACGCCTGAAGGTACTAATGTGCCCTGAAATGTAGCCCGTTTCACCGTAACAGAAGAGTAAATTTATAGATTATTTTTATATTTAAAAAAATCTTTATTTTAAAAAAAGCTAGGGACACTAAGCACATGACTTCCATGTCTAAATCAAGTCTTTGTCATTTAGTATTTTAAACTGGATGCTAAATTCCTTAATCTTTAATAAGTGCACAATCCTTTTCGTTTTGCCTTCCTCAAAGTGTTCATATCAGTCATTATCGGGCTCTCAAAAAGAAATGGCAGATAAATCTAATTTTAGATTGTAGATTCTATATATTTCTATAGTCTAGAACAGTGTTTCTTATCTGATGAACACTGAAATGCAACCAGATGGGCCCCAAATTAACACAAGAGTAATTTATGAATTATTTTTATATTTAAAAGAAAATCCTTATTGTTAAAAAGCAATTTGATTTTTTAAAATGGATGCTAAAATTCTTAATCTTTAAGAAGTAGCAGATAATCCTTTCCCTTCTGCCTTCCTCAAGAGATTTAAATCGGTCATTATCAAAAGATTCTTCATAAATCCCTTTAAGTTAAAACTGTACTGCTAATTTTTTTTGGGACCAAAAATGGCTAACATTAAAGATAATTTTCTTATGGATGAGAGTGCATGCCTTTAAAGACCTTGATGGATAATTTTTCCTTACTAAAATTTTAAGGGCTGCCCAGGGTTTTAATTATTCTACAATTGCATCCTGAGGCAAACATGGTTGAGAAACACTGGCATATCTTAACAGATACTCATTGAATTTTGGCCAGAAATTTTCACAGTGTAATGTTTGTTTTTTCCTTCCTTCCTTCCTTCCTTCCTTCCTTCCTTCCTTCCTTCCTTTCGTTCGTTCATTCGTTCGTTCGTTCCTTCTTTTCCGTCCTTTCTCCCTTCTTTTGTTCGTTCGCGTTCGTTCGTTCGTTCTTTCTTTTCCTTCCTTCCTTTCTCCCTCCTTTCGTTCGTTCGTTCGTTCGTTCTTTCTTTTCTTTCCTTCCTTTCTCTCTCCTTTCGTTCGTTCGTTCGTTCGTTCTTTCTTTTCCTTCCTTTCCTTTCCTTCCTCCCCTCGTTCCTTCGTTCGTTCGTTCGTTCGTTCGTCCCTTCCTTCTTTTCCTTCTTTCCGTTCTCTCTTCTTTCGTTCGTTCGCTCCTTCCTTCCTTCCTTTCGTTCGTTCGTTCGTTCGTTCGTTCGTTCCTTCGTTCGTTCGTTCGTTCCTTCCTTCCTTTCGTTCGTTCGTTCCTTCCTTCCTTTCGTTCGTTCCTTCCTTCTTTTCCCTCCTTTCTCCCTTCTTTCGTTCGTTCGTTCGTTCTTTCTTTTCCTTCCTTCCGTTCTCCCTCCTTTCGTTCGTTCGTTCGTTCGCTCCTTCCTTTCTTTCCTTTCCTTCCTCCCTTCCTTCGTTCGTTCCTACCTTCTTTTCCTTCTTTCCGTTCTCTCTTCTTTCGTTCGTTCGCTCCTTCCTTCCTTACTTTCGTTCGTTCGTTCGTTCGTTCGTTCGTTCGTTCCTTCGTTCCTTTCGTTCGTTCGTTCCTTCTTTTCCTTCCTTTCTCCCTTCTTTCGTTCGTTCGTTCGTTCGTTCTTTCTTTTCCTTCCTTCCTTTCTCCCTTCTTTCGTTCGTTCGTTCTTTCTTTTCCTTCCTTCCTTTCTCCCTTCTTTCGTTCGTTCGTTCGCTCCTTCCTTTCTTTCCTTTCCTTCCTCCCTTCGTTCGTTCGTTCCTACCTTCTTTTCCTTCTTTCGTTCGTTCGTTCGTTCGTTCGTTCGTTCGTTCGTTCCTTCCTTCCTTCCTTCATTCCTTCCTACCGTCCTTCGTCTTTTTACCAACTTCCTTTCTTAGTATACTCTTTCCAGTATAATGATTGATCTTCTTCTTCTTCTTCTTCTTCTTCAGTCATAGATAGTGGGATAGCTAATGAAGTTACTGATTGCTAGATAGATGATGAATTCACAGATAGATAGATAGATAGATAGATAGATAATGAATTCACTGGTAGATAGATATGGTGCAACTAAGATAAATAGCCAGCAAAAAAACTTTTCTTAGCATAGTTTACGTTGTGAGAGAAAATATTTACCCACAAGTTTGGACTCGGCCGTCGGACAAAAGACATAAAAATACTCCTACATCAAGAGGAGTAGCAGCAGGAGCAGAAGCCTTTGCTGAAAACAATTAATCATTCACGGCTAAACATTCTCTTCCCTAGTTTCTATTCTACATTATGTTTCCCTGTAGTAAAAAGTAATAAACTTATTAAACCAATTCTTGTTTTCTATTGTTGCTTGTGATAACTTAGTTACAACAGTTTGTTTGTTTGTTTCTTTCCTGTGCCTTTTTTCCTTCCTTTCTTTCTAGTATTCTTTTTCTGCTTCTTCTATAATGTCCCTTCATGTGGGTGATTATGGCTGTCCATAATTTCCTGTTCCTTACAGCCCTATGCAACGTTTAACCACAGTTTGTTCGAATCAGAAATTTGATTCTTTGGAAGGAGCCTCATAATATGGAACATCTTTCAAAATACCATCAAATGGTAATGATAATAATAATATTAATATTAGCCGTTTCCCTATAAGGAAACATTTGGCATTCATGGACCGAGCAGCCAACACTGCTCTCGGTGAAATTTGTAAAAGCTTTCTTTTAAAACTATTTTTCAGGAAAATAGGTTTATCAAGTCCAGTAGCTATTATCGCTCTTTACATTATTAATGTAATTCATAATCTTTTGTTTGAAGTGCTTTGGAATGTTAACATCTTGATTATAACTTCGAGTTAAATGTGCCATCCATTTTAGTTGTTGCTGCTGTTGGTAGTCTTCGACCTGTGTGGTTTCTGTTCTTTTGTCCAATTCTTTGTCTGTGATTCTGTAGCGTCAGTCCACGATGTTCAAAGAAGAATGATCTTTGACAAGTCTCTCAAGCTTAGTTAGCTCAAAGCATCTTTTCAGTATTGATCTTAGGAAGCGTTGTATACAGCTGACAGTTTAGACATTTAGATGTTTAGAACGGGTCCGGCGCCATGCATGATATCCATATGAAAAACTGAAAGGTAGACTCTCTAGCCATGTTTGTTTACGCTGCAACCTGCCTAGGAGAAGGAAAAAAGAATTTTAAAAAGAGTAAAAGTCAGCGATGGGCCACTCGATTATCTTTCCCCAGAAGGCATGGCAATTCACCAAAAAAGAAAAGGAATTAGCAGGGTCATGATCGCTTACGTCCAAGCAAGGGTTTACAACAAAAACGAACAGGATTCAAATTGACAGAAGATGATGTTTTCATGTAGATTTAGAAGATTGAATGTGACAGGGAAGCAAGAATTTGTAAGAGTGTTCCACTGGCGAAAGGTGCAAGAGAAGAAGCTTCCAAATAAAGTCAAGCTTGATAAATGATCACATTTTCCACCAGGAAAAAAAAAACTATCTGCTCATTTAGGAGTAATCCACAACGTACAATACTACGACAATTCAAAGTATTTAAAAATTAATCATGTCTAATTATCTGTGAATAAATATCTTCGCAAAAACGTTTGTTAATCGAAGACAGACAATCAAAATAATGTTTTCCATCTTGTCCCTTTTAAAAGTTGTCGCTGGCCAACTTGAAACAGCTTTCTTTAACTGTCATCAGTTTTTCTCGGACTAAGGTTTCCCACTGTTAGGGAGTGGAACGATTATATTGAATCAATTTCTAGGTCTGCTGTTAGGAAAGTTGGTTCACTGTGACGGCGCCCGACAATTTTTCTCGCCCAAATCTGTCTTAGACTTACATAAGTCTACCATTCGTCATTGCTTTGAATATTGCTGCCACATCTAGACTGGTGCGACTGCTATATATGTAGCGATTCTTGATGGAATATGAAGAAGTATCTATAATGTTATTGGTCCTGACCTGGCATCTCGGCTTCCATCACTTTCCCACCGCCGTAACATGGCTTACTTGCGCCTTTCCTATACATTCATCATAATGGTTCGGAGAAAATTCTTAGTACCGAGACTTTAAGCGCAGTAATTTGAATGATTGGTTCACTTGTTTGTTTAACGGCATATCAAGTCCTTTATGGGTCATTTAATGTCGAAATTGAATTTTCTTGGGAGCTTTAAAGTAATAAAAATTTGATATGTTATTCTATTTTCACAGTTGAATACATGGTAGATCAGTGCTACTCAAAGTGGTGACCCGCGGACCTGTGCCGATACGCGAACGACCAGCTACCGGTCCGTGGCCAGTGTCCAGACCATGCTAAAGAATAATTTGTAAAGACCAAAGTTATGTCATTTTTTTCTTTTTGTGTTGATAAACTGCTTATTTTTGATTACTTTTTATATGTTTTGATATTGAATATTTTTAGCAAAATAAATGGAAGATAAAAAATAGCCAACTTTTGTTATATTTATTATACATATAGTTTCCAGTATAAATTAATATTACCACAAATTATTACGGGTACATGACACATTGAGAAACAAAAAAATGCTGGTCCGCCATATCAGATAGTTTGAGAAGCACTGGTCGAGAGATTAAACTGCAGTCCATTCAGTTGTAGCAATCAGGTTCTCTACAGCTAAAGAAATTAAAAACACAAAAATCACGGTCATTATTTTTGTTTTTCTTAATAAAGTATTCAGAAAATTCTCTTTGGAATGGCCAATGCAGAATACTAACTTGGTGTGCCAATTGAAAGAGCTATTAAAAGAGAAAATAGTCAACATTTATTATATTCATTACATATATCGTTTCCGGTATAAATTGATATTAGCACGAAATATTAACGGTACATGACACATTGAGAAAAATAATGCTGGTCCTCCATATCAGACAGTTTGAGTAGCACTGTGGTAGATGATACTCAGCTTTTGTGTATATACATTTTTGTGTGGACATAATTACAAGAGGCGGTGGTATGTGTGTTTTATGTTATAGTTTTCTTGAAGTTATATTTTGAAATACAGTTTGGTTTCTTTAAGAAATTGTAGAATATTATATGGATTAGTGTCATGGAAGAGTTCTTCCATGTTGGTTATTTAGATGATTTTCTTTAATGGTATATCAATATTTATGGCTCATTCAATGCTGGAATTTAATTTTTGCTCCTGGATAATTTATTGGAAATAAATATAAATACAATATACGAAGATTCTGCTTTCACAGTTGAATACATGGTAGATGATACTCTGCCACAAACTGCATATTTGTGTGGACATAATTACTTATAGGTGAGATATGTTTTTCATGTTGTAATTTGTTTGAAGTTATATCTTGGAATAAAGAATGGTTTTCTTTAAGAAATTGTAATATATTATATGGATTAATATCATTAAATAGTTCTTTTCTGTTGATTTTTGGTTGGCTGATTTTGTTTATCATATCAACAACTCTATGGGTTATTTAATGCCCAAAATGTAAAAAATTTTGGACGCAATTAGATGCCTTCAATTGAGGATAAAAATGGTATTGGTGGTAATTTTATTATAAATTACTATACATTTTGGAATTCATTTTGATTTCTTTAAGAAATTGTAGGATATATGGATTAATGTCATGAAAGATTTCTTTCATATTAGTTGGTTGATTTTGTTTAGCGGCATATCAACACCTCTATGGTTTATTTAATGCCGAAATCTAAATAAATTATGCACAATTATATGGCATCAACTAAACATATTTTGAATGCCTTCAACTACAGATAAAAATGCATTGTTGCTCATTTTACTATAAATATATATAGTTGATCCATTTATATAAAATATGAAATCAAGTAAAATATTTATAAATTGATGTATTATCCTTTTCATAAATTTTTCTTGGGGGTTCCACTATTTGACTTAAAGTTGGGACCTAACAGGTTTTTTCAAAATTTTATCAGCTGTTTTTCAAATACAACAGAAATTTGAAGTGGTTCCTGACCTCAAAACCTACATTTTTTTTTTAGAACATTGCTTTTATAATAGTTTATCGCCATTTTTCTTGACTCTATGCTTAGTAAAAGATTGGCGGTGAAAATGCATTCTTTTAAGTTGAGATATATAGCATTTGTTTCAAACTCTATAGCCAACAGTTTCTTCTTTGGCATTTTTTTTTTTGTGGAACTCCTATTCCGATCCTTTTTCCCATGTAAAATTTAATCTTCAAACATTCAAATGCAATGTCATTATATTATTTAATGTCTTTCTGATTACTTTTTATCGTTCTCACTCAATTTTTTCTTGTTTAACTATCTTCCGGCTTCTTGCTTTCCTGAAAACTTTGATCTTCAAAAATTTAAATGCAATGTCAATCGTTATCTATTGTCTTCCTGATTACTCTTCTATTGTTCTCCTCATTTTTTAATTGTAGAACTCTCTTCCGGCTTCTTTACTTCAGAGCCAACTTTGATCTTCAAAAATTCAAAAAATAATGTTCCAATCGTTATCTATTGTCTTCCTGATTACTCTTCTATTGTTTCTCCTCAATTTTCACTTGTGGAACTCTCTTCCAGCTTCTTGCTTTCCAGTCAACTTTGATCTTCAAAAAAAATTTAAATGCAATGTCAATCGTTATCTACTGTCTTCCTGAAGACTCTTCTATTGTTCTCAAAATTCTCTTGTGGAGATCTTCCAAAAATTTAAGCGCAATGTCAATCATTATCTTCTTACTTCTTAATTCCTGTTCTTTTATTGTTCTCTTTCCCTGCATTTGTCCCATTTTTTTTTTAAATTTTTACTCATTCAATTTAGTATTAACTAATTCCTTGGTAAAATAACTTGTTTCTTTTTAAAGAAAAAATTTAACAAACTATTTGAAAAATTTGGGGAAGAATTATGTATATATAACCCTATTGGCTAATTAAGTTAATAGTCATGAGACCAATAAAAATAGTATAATGAATTTAAATGTTATTTCCAACTTGATGAAAAATGTTTTGTTATTATCATTTTTTTTTTTCTAAAAGTATTTTGAATAAGTTTTCTACATTTTTGATCTGTTTTGGAACAAATTTCATATATGGACTTGTATTTGTACTAAGTCGGTCCTAAAAAAAAATTTTTTAAACGTTAGGAACTTTAATTAATAGGTATTTTTAATAATAAAAATATTATTGTGTTCGCTGATTATTATTCGACTTCGTCCGACATCATTTGACTGACCGACCTATTATTTAGTCACCCTTTCACGAATGACATCATGTGGCAAATAAGGCCGGTTTAAAATGGAATCTCCGAGTGTGGGCTCGGTTTAAAAATTCATTTAATTGGACCCGTATAAACGGGTTCAATCTTCGTTTAATCTCCCGAAAGAATTTTCCGCCCTTCAAAGAATATCCTTCAGGTTCAACCGATTGTTCCAGTCGACTGACTGACCGACCCCTTAGCGACTCCTACTAGTCCTACTTATTATAGGTGGGAGAGTCTATTAACAAAGAATAGGTGTGTTCCACTATAACATAATCATTCCTAGAACGTCCAAAATTTTTGTTAACAATCTTGTTTTTTTTTTAATCAAATTGTTTCGACAGATTATCAATCATCAAAGTCATTTTCACTTTTGTAAACAAAAACCTTCTTCTCTCCGTTTAAAAATTCTTTAAAAATAATTTCAAAATTTAATTTAAAAAGATTGGAAATTAGCTTCCATTTCTCATATATTTTGAAATCATAAAACATTACTCTTATTTCTCTGAAAAAAACTTTCCAAATAAGAAAGAAATTGTCTTAATATGAACTGTCGATTTACAAGTAACATGTGGTGATTTTTATCACTGACATCTTACGTGATGAAAATTATCGTACGGAAGGTCAATATGGACATAATTTAAAAATTTAAAAAAAAACAATTTATTTCCCTCGTTATTTTTTTCTTTTAAATATCTGCATTCTTTAAAATTTTTTTTTTTTTTTGATACTTAGATTTATAAATTTTTTAAACACCAAACTTTTATGGAAAAAAAATAATACTAATAAAAAAAGTAAATAAATACATGAAAAGTTTATAAGATTTTTAAATAAAAAATAGTTTATAAAATAATACAATTCTTTATGAAAAAATATCAATAAAATATATTTTATGTACATTTATTACATTTTATGGTATTATTTGGATTTACACTCATTTCAATTAATTTTGATATTTCATTTTTTTTTTAAGCATTTCACCCCAAGCAAGGCGGGAAGCCACTAGGACGCAAGGGGTTACAGAAAATTTATAGCAAGATCAGATAGGAGTGATAGAAGAAAGGATGAGGGTAGTAGATAAATTAAAGCAACTGGAGATGTCGATTGACATTACACTTGAATAGCTGGAGATTATAGCCCACAGGGAAACAGGAGAAGGGAAAGGGAGTTCCACAGGCGAGAGGTGCGAGACATGAAGCTATTAGAGTAGAAGAGACGGCTACATTTAGGAGTTTCGACAGTGAAGGGGTGAGAGCGGGATGCCAGCCTCGTAAGGCGCTGGAACTCATGAAGTCTGGGAACCAGCGAATGCAGCTCCTCGGAGCAATTTTCATGAAAGTATTTGTAGAACAGACAGAGGGAGGCGACAGCGCGTCTGTGAGAAAGTGACTGTAGACGAGACGCCAGGGCAGGGCCAACTACATTGCATATCCGCCTCTGGAGCCTATCAAGAACCCCAAGGCAAACAGAATGGGCTCCAGACCATATATGGCAGCAATACTTCATGCAAGGGCGAATTGTTGATTTGTATATCTGGAGGATCGACTTAGGGAAGAAAAACTTCCTAGCGCGGCTCAGGGAGCCAACTTTCCTCGCAGTGGACGAGGCAATTGACTCGATGTATTTATTGTATTTATGGATAAATTACATAACTGAGATAATATAAAACTAAGATCATATAAATTTTATAAGATAGGTACCTTATACATTGTACGTACCCTTATAAGTTGAAATGCTATACATATTTTCTCTTTTGTTAATTTTTTTTAATCTTAAGTTATATAACAATATTGAAAAGGCTATTTTTTTCTAATAGTTTAGATTTTCATAATCAAATACACTTTTATTTTTTTTTTAATATGATAAATAAATTACAGAGGTTTAGAATTTCAATGCAACTGGTATCAGACTTTCATGAAATTTTCGTCCTAAATTTTGTATTTCGAATAATTAAATATAAAAGATGTCAAGGCCGTTAACAGCAATTGAACAACATTTATGTACAAAATCAAATCACGTGATGCTTTTATTGTATCATGTTTCTTCCGGGCTTCCGTACATTTGAATTACAGCCGTTTCTTTGACACAAAAGGCAAGAAACAGTAAAATTTTTCTAACTGAAGGCTCGTTAATTGTAAAAAGCTTGTGCAATTTATAATCTGTACAGATAGATCTACTTAATGAAACAATTAAGTAAAGCATTCGCCATTTCCACTAATTTTAAAATATTTAACAACTTTATGGAATGAAAGTGTTTAAGTAAGCCATTACAAAGAAAAAAAGAAGAAAAATAAAAAAGAAAGAGTAAAAGCGATAAAAATAAGAAGAAAAAAGGAAAGAAAGAAAGAAGAAAAGTACGATGAAGAGATAAAAAAAGAAAGTAAAAATGAAAGAAAGAAGGGAAAATTGAAACAATGCTGAAGAGAAAAAGCCTAATTAATTTCTGAGAAGCAGAGGAGAGAGCGGAAGATGTAAGGAAAAAAAGAATGAAAAAGAAAAGACAAGGTCTGTCAATATTTTTTTCTGTGTGTACGCTATTCCGTGCAGCTGCGGAAAGGAATATAAAGGAGAGACAGGCCCCTTAAGGTAAGGCTTCAAGAACACCAGAAAGCTGTAACACGAGGGGAAGTAGAAAAATCAGGCGTGGCTGACGACATATGGAGAGAAAATAGATCACCGCCCTCTGTGGGATCATGTTGAGATCATAGACAAAGCACTGGAAAATTCGTAAACTTAAGGAATCAGCACATATGCTAGGCCACAAAAAAAAAACCTGAGCCGACCAAGCATAGAAATAAATACAATATGGGAACCAGTAATAAGGAGTGCCAGAGAAAAGCAATATAACAACAAAAAAGTTGCAATATGAGCTCTGGTAAAAAACATGCAATGATAACAGCAAAAAAATTGCAATATGAGCACTGGTAAAAAATGATTGCTGAAGACATTAGGTTTATAATTCCTAGAAATTCATACCCACTGTGCCATGTGTCATCAAGGATACATGGCACAGTGGATAAAGGCGTTGGTTAGATCCAGTGACAGGACCCAAAGAGTGTGAGTTCAATACCCGGTTAAGGCAGTGGAGAACTTTCAGAGGGAAATTAACAGGAGATAACTGATAACTGACATCCATCAAAACATGACACGTGGAACTAGAACAGTCTACTACAGTGAGCGAAATAAAGGGTTCAGTTCGACATTGCAACCACCTGAAGAAGGCCGGAGCGTTATGATAAATATGGCGACAAAGATGAGGACAATAGTTCGAATAATGGAAATAAATAAAAGACAAGATTAAAAAAAAGAAAGAGACGATATAAAAGAAAAAAAAGCAAGAAAAGGTTTGAGAAGAAGAGAAGAAACAAAATAAAGAAAGAACGAAAAGCGACAAGGTAACATGAAAAATGTTGAAGAGGGTAAAAAACGTTTCTGAACAGGAAAGTAGAAAGGAAAAGAAAGAGAAAAACGAAAGAAAAGTAGAAAAAAAAGAAGAAATTTGTGATAAGAAGAGAGGAGAGAAAGAAAAAAAAATGAATTACTTAAAATACAACGAAAAAGAAAAAAAAAGAAAGAAGACAAAATATGAGAAAAACCCAGGCGGAAAAGTCGAATTCCTTAGAGAAATACAATCTGAGAGAAAAATGTTTGAAGAAAGAAAGCGAGATAAATCATATACACGAGAAAGAGAGAGATGAAGGATAAAAAAAAAGAAGAAAAAAATTATGACAGGAAACATGTAAAAGTAAAAGCAACGGAAGACAAAAGGGCAAACAAGTTAAGCTAAAAGTCAAATAGAATGAGAAAAAGAAAATAGGCTGATAAAGAAAGAAAGAATGAAACAGAATGAATTGGGAGAAAAAATGGCAGAAAAATGAATAAATCAGAATTTAAAAAAGGAAAAAAAGAAAATTCCATCAAAAAAGAAGGAAGGATTTTTAAGTCTAGAAAGTAAAAAAAAAAAAAAAAAATAAATTGAAAGATTCAGAATAGAAAAAAAAAAAAAGAAAATTACAAAGAAAAAAAAAAAAAAAGAAAAAAAAAGAAAGGAAAAGCAAAAGAAAAAAAAAAAGAAAAAAAAAATTAAAAGAAAAAAAAATGAAGGAAAAACAAACGAATGAGAAAGAAAAAATTTTTAAGAAAAAAAAAAGGAAGGAAAGAAAAAGAAAAAATCAAAGAAGGAGGATAGAAAGAAAAAAGAAAGAAAATGGAAAGAAAAAAGAAAAACAAAAAGAAGAGAAAGGAAAAGAAACGAGAAAAGAAAAGGAAAAACATTAAAAGAGGAAAAAAGAAAGGAAAAACAAACGAATGAAATCAAAAGAAAAGGAAAGAAAAAAGAAAGGAAAGAAAAAAAGGAAAATGAAAGAAAGAGAATTGAAAGAAAAAAAGAAAGAGAATGGAAAGAAAAACAAAGAAAAAGAAAAGAAAGGAAAAGCAACGAGAAAAGAAAAGAAAAGAAAAGAAAAAACATTAAAAGAGGAAAAAAGAAAGGAAAGACAAAGGAATGATAGCAAAAGAAAAACTAAAGAAGAGAATTGTTGGTCAAGAAAAAAAAGAAAGATGAAAAATATTAGAAAGGAAAAAATATAAAGTGAATGGAAAGAAAAAAGAAAAACAAAGAAAATTTAGAAAAGGAAAAAAGCATCGAAAAAGAAAAAAAAAAGAAAAACATTGAAAAAGGAAAAAAAGAAAGGAAAAACAAACGAATGAAAGCACAAAAAAAGAAAAAAAAAAGCAATTAAAAAAAGAAAGATTACAAAAAGGAATAAAAAAAAAAGAAAAACATGACATTTTTTTAAAGCATTTCATCCCAATCAAGTCGGCAGTGCCACTTGCAGGCAAGGGGTTAAAGAGAATGTGAAAAGGTATAAAGAAGCGTATTATAGGAAAGGATAAAGAGAAGGACGAAGAACAGATCAAGGCATTTAAAGATGTCGATTGACATTGCATTTGAATAATTGGTGATTATAGCTATCAGGGAAGCCAGTAAGAGGAAGGGAGTTCCACAGACGGGAAGTGTGAGACATGAAGCTATTGAATAGAAGAGACGGTTATATTTAACCGTTTCGATAATGAAAGGGTGGGACTGAGATGCCGACCTAGTGGCAAGCTTAGATTCATGCCCTTTTGGGAACCAGCGAAAGAAGCTCTTCGGAGAAAAGGAAAAAAGAAAGAAAATATCAATAAGAGACAAAGAAAAAATAAATGGAAAACTGGGAATGAAATTAAAAAAAAGGAGATAAAAAGAAAAGGAAAGGAAAGAAAGAAAGAAAAAATCCCGTATATCACGAGGTGGGGGGAAACATGTCATTAAATATGAAAAAGAAAGAGGAAAAGAGAAATGAAATGAAAGAAAAATTACAACGAAGAGAGAAAAAAAAAACGATAGAGAGAAAGAAAGATATATAGAAGCTAAAACTGACCTTAGGAAAGAGCGACAGACAAATGTGAAAAATGCTATTAAGTTGGTGCAATTTTAAAATTACGTAATAATGTCGTTTTTGACGTTAAAAAATACGTCAAAAACCGATATTTATTACGTCATTATTTTTACAACCAATAAAAGAAAATGTTTGAATGAAAAACAAAACAAACAAACGCCAACAAAGAATGGACAAAACAAAATATGCCCGAACAAAAATCACTTCGTCAAAATTCATCATACACCCCCCACAAAAAAAACCCCAACAACAATAAAACTTTACTTTCTACACATTTTCTTGTCTTTTCCTGATTATATTTGTGGCTGACATAACTTCCTTCATGATTGTCGCCTGCATTCAGTGCGACATGCGCAGAGGAAAAAAAAAGGCATGTAACAAAGGAACTAAAAAAAAAGAAAATGGTGACTGGCTTTGTTATATTTATTTTGATTTTACTTGATTTTCTTTCTTTTTTTTTTTGGGGGTGGGGGAGAAAGCTGTGCAAATGGCTGACAACGATTTATGATGATTATCATCTCGGGAAACGGCTCACGAATTTCAGCTGCGAAGCAAAGAAAATGCATTTGAAACCTGAATTTGCAAAGACAAACTAACACGCACGTATGTATACGATATATATATATATATATAAAATATTTAATTTATATATATATATATATATTATTATTTATATATTTAAAGATTTTTATATTTTACTTCTGTTTAAGAAAAAAAGAAAATGCTCTGTTTATAATAAACAACATAATAATTTTTTATATTGAATGTCCGAGAAATTTTCATAGAAAATATTCGTTCTCCGGCAGTTTAAAAGCAGTAAAATCGACCTTGCCAATCGAACGATTCTCCGTGGCTCGATCGGTTAAGCAACATCAGGCTAAATGACGGTTCCGTATAGGATACAGGTTCGTTTCCTGTCAGAGGCCGAATATTTTCTATGAAAATTTCTGGGACATTTGACCTCAGGCAGATATCTTACGGAATGGAATTTTCAAAAAAGCCGTTAACATTTATTCTGTGTCTTTTCTTTAAAGTTCTTAGTTCATGTCGAAAGTTATTAACATATTTTTCCCGACTTGTCTCTATCGAATTAAAGCTCAGAATAGCTAAAAAGCAAGAAATTCATCTAGACTTTTCTGAAATTAATTCAAGGTAAAACCTACTTCATGCAATCCTTCCGAGTGGGTTAAAAGTAAAATATTGTCGGCATTCTATATCCTATATTAAACACACATACAGACACACACATACACACACACATATATATAACCATTACTCTTCAAGTATGAATCGAGTTCCTCGAGCCGTCGTAGTATTTCGCATAGAGAAAAAACGTTAAAACTTCTCATCCGTGCTACGATGGCCTTCTAAAAAGATATCTGCCTGAGGTATTTAATTTCTATCCCGGCTTGAAGCAATCGGACGTCTATCCACACTGAGAAGCTGTGATACAGTGAAACAGTCTGTCTGTATCTCTCTCCCTCTCTCTCTCTATATATATAGTGAAGAAAATGACAGAACTTTACGAGCCTATCATCATGAAGATTTCAGCCATTTTGTCTATTCATATATATATATATATGATGAAGAAGAAAATAACAGAATCTTACTTAAAAGCAAGCCTATCATTAGTAATCATCCTTAAGATTTCAGGCATTTTTTCTAATCCCCAGAGAAAATACAATTACGCCATTTTTGAAACAACTGATTGTTCTATAACATGGTCTAAAAAACAAATGCAAATGTAATCTTATCTGATGGTCGACTAATTCCAGATGTGATTTTTGGAGTGTTTACATCATTGCATCAAGGGATAACCATATCAAAATGGTCGAATATAGGCTTTGATCTGATGATCTGTTCCGATCCAACTATCTTATTGGCGCTGAGTGTTCGCAAATATTATAGAAATGTCTTGTTTCATACGTCTTAAATGTCATATATATTTGTTTTTTTGTGTGCACATTGTGTACTTTGATTTTTTTTTTTTATCAACATAAACTTGGACTTGTCAAATGATGAAAGCATGGATTAATCAATAATTCAATCTGATTGACGGAAATTGTCATATATTCCTAAAAGTGTCAAACATACTATATATATATATATATATATATATATTGTCATCCACAGACAGACTATTTCACTGTATCACAGCTCATCAGTGTGCCTCTAGCTTGGATTGAAACCTGACTGAATTGGCGTCGGTCGGGTATTCTATCACTAAGCCGTTGGCGCACGGCAGGGATGAAGGTGAATTTAAGCGTATTTATTTTTAGGTAAACACAAAGTGACCGAGAGAACTCGATTCGATTTACCGAAGAGTCTTGCATTATTAGCCGTAATAGTCACTGTTTACAAACCCACATTTCCTCTCCAGAGAGCTCAACTGAATTAAATTTTTCAGGAGCATATAAATGTCTAAATTAGACATCGAAACAAATATGCATTTTTGTTGACGTATATATATATCAGTTGAGTCTGATTTGGAATCTCTTCGTTACCGAGGCCCATTTGGTACAGTTGGTATGTTGTTCGCTTGAAACCCAACTGTCAGGGGTTTCATACTTGGTGGTGGATGCATTACTGTGAGTCCCAATTATAGGACATTGTTTTTCAAGTGATTCCTCTATTCCTTTTGATCCTCTATCAGACACAATGAATTAATTAAATATATATATATGTATATATATATATATATATATATATACGGCCGTTCCTGTAGGTTTCTATCAGACTCAATGAATTAATTAAATATATTTATATATATATATATATATATATTGGAAAATTCATTTTTGGGGTTTCTATCAGACTCAATATATTAATTAATATATATATATATATATAAATAGGGTTCTTTCATTCTCATTTTTTTTTAAAATTTATATATATATATATATACAAAAATATGATTGGTAAACGGAATAAATTCAATAACCAACAATTACTATTCTTAAAAAAGTTTTCAATACAGAGTAAAGCTTTATATAATTATTTATTTAAAAATTATAACATAAATATATTATAAAATCACTATATAAAATAGCCATTTTGTTTCAACACCTCTGGTGTCTTATCAAGTGATGATGTTGAATGTAGATTGTAGAATAAAGGTTTTAAAAGGTTCAAATTAATAAACCCCCACCTCGGAAGGGGAAATCCATCACATGAGCTGAAATGACCAATCAAAATACAAGTATACGAAATTCCAAAAACTTGACAGCTTTATAAATTGTTCAATACAAATGATGGAAACCTATATAAACCTATAAATTTTAGGCAAAAAAAATACATA